AGCGATCTGTAGGCAAACTAAGCATATAGTCTCAAGGTTTCTATCATCCTTTCCACCAGGAATACAAATTAAAAATATCTTACTAAGAGCAACCAGATACCAAATGCCATCCAGACATTTAAAAAGTACCTCTTTATACAACTATGGGGCTTTAGGGGGTGGGGATCCTTAATATTCAGTAAAACTCAGAGTTCATCATCTATGACACTGTTGCATTTGGAACAGCTCCTTGTTCTGCTGCTCAAACTGCAAAGGATTGCTGCAGTGCTGCTGGTTTTGTTTCAGGTTTTCTATCTTTCCTCCATTTGCCTCACTGGAAAGGACAAAGTTCACATTAGGTTTGTTTGCATTTTCTAGCTAGTGTGAGGCCTGTGTATTTACTTTGCCTGTTGATCACCTAACACATATTGCAGGGGTCCCCGATCTCCAGAAAAATGCCAATGTTACATAAAATAGGTAATTATACAAAGAATCACATATGATCATTGCCAAAAGGAAAGCATCTCACTTCAGTGCTTTAAGTAAGCTTCCTCACCTGAAAACACACCACATCCCCTGAACTGTTCACCAACTCAGTTATGAAAAGTCATTGCCTAAATGGGGTAGCTACCCACCAGCTGCAACACTAGGCTGTTATTACTCACTACCCCTTTCTGCGTCGTGCTCAACTACAGTCCTGCCTTGCCAAGAGTCTTACTGCTAATGTCGAGCTTCGACGACCGCTCTCAAAATCAACTAAAATTATTAACCACGTGATGCTAGTTCTTTTGTGAAAGAGGGCTTCGTTTCAAATCTCAAGCCTTATTAAATTGTACAGGCAATGGATGCATCCTGTATTGCAAACACTGTTTGCAGCTGGAGAGCTGGGGGGGGGGGGGGGGGGGGGGAGAAAGGAGGAGGAAATGAGATGCAGAAACAGTAAATAGAAAATGCTTAGTCAGCAACTGTTACTGCAACATTAAAGGTGAAATGTAAATAGGCACAGTGCCAAGATTTAAATAAGTTTGATAACACCATCAGCATCACCATCTTACTACATATATGTGAAAATGTGCGCACAAGTGCCACAATTATCACAACGAACTGCAGGCTCTTGGTATAATGGAGACTTTTAAAAAGACAACATGGCTTGTGCATGCTGTCTAAGCTCTGGGAAGAATAAAACTTGCTACTCGAGAAGTATTAATATCAATTGAATTTATTACAATTTACTAAGCTCCAAGGCACATTACAGTGTTCTGTTAACTACAGAAATGTATAAAGGACAAACAGAGCATGTTTTTCATGTACAGCATTTTGCTCTACTGTTCAAAAGCATCCGTGCATCAATAAAAGCAAAAACAAAAAACACATGAAGATTAAAAACGTTCAGATCAATAGAAACAAACTGAAACATTTTCCTTACAAACTTGCAACAAAAAACACCCTCCCCCCAGAGCCACCCCACCGTTTTGCAAACAAAAAACAAAAACGAAAAAAATAAAGTGAAAGACTAACACTCAGGGCTTGTAAAACATAAGCTGTCACCATTTTTGTAGCAATTTTTTAGGCATCAACACTGGCCTTGGCAAAAAAAAAAAATTTTTTTTTGTCTTTTTGTGTTTTTCTTCTTCTTTCAGAGAAGTGCATACATTTACAAAAATACACACCAGCAGCAGGTAATCGCTAAGGGCTATTAACTTTGTACCTAGCCAACACACTGCCAAAGAAATGAGAACAGGTATTATGTAGTAACCAAACAATATTATATTCTGTTTAACAAAAACCAGCTCTATCCTTCAAATGAAGAAGAGTACATACCTTTGTTTCAAAATATAGAAACATACGACGAAAATAATGTCTATACATAAGACTAACTTTTGCAGTTTGTTATATTCACAATTCTACATCTTCAGGAGTCTGAAGGGATTGGATTTCCTACTCAAGGGTCTCTCTCCTTTTTCACTTTAACGTCCCCAGCTAAAATGGTCGCGATCTCGCCCTGCATAAATGCCCAAGGCACATTGGAACCGACTAGGGGGCATTTCTCTCCGCTGGGGCAGTAGACTTCGCCAGTTGCCCCTTGGGCCTTGATGCTCTCTCTGGAACAAGGGAAGCAGAACTTGTGGCTGGGCACAGAGGGGCACTGAACAAAGTGGGTGTCCTCCAAGCGTTCGTGGCAAATGGTGCAGCACAGGGGCCCGCTGTTGGCCATGGGGGAGTCCGGAATGTTTTGGGGGTGCACTTGGTCCATGGCGGGGTGGGCGCTGGGGGGAGGAGGGGCCACTTGCAGGTTCATGTCCCCGTTGCGGGAGGCCAGGCGGCGCTGGCCCGGCACCGAGGCCGGCGACACGGGGCTGCTGCTGTTCCTGCGGGTGGAGGTGGTGGAGTGCACCGAGCTGCCGTCCTTGGGCGAGTGGGCATTGCCCAGCGTGTCGGCCACCGACATGAGCGCGGCCATGGGGGACTGTCCGTTCTGGGGGGCGGACTCGGGCGGCGTGGTCCGGTTGGAGTGAGGCCCGAGGGGCGGCGGCGGCGGCGGCGGGGGGCCCCCGCCGTGCACCGCCCCGAAGCCCCCGGCCGACATGGTGAGTTTGAGCGCTTCGCTCTGGCTGGCCATCCACTGCTGCCGCTGCTGCTCGTCGCTGAGCTTCAGAGCCCCCTCGGCCGAGTCCGAGGGCTCGGGAGAGGCTTTCCTCTTGCGCATCGCCCCGCCGCCGCCGCCGCCGCCGCCGCCAGGTCCCCTAGAGGCGGCGGCCGTGCCCTGCGCCCCGCCGGCCCCGGCCCCCGGCCGCGGGAGACTCACCAGCGCCGTGGGCAGCATGGGGCAGCTGGCGTCCAGGTAGGGCTGCGGCAGCATGTCGGCGCCCACCAGCTCCTTGAAGAAGCGCACGGACTCGGGCAGCAGGTCCCCCAGGAGCCGCCAGTCGCCGGAGCCGTGCTTCTTCTCGTACTCCAGGTACTTGAAGCCCGAGGAGAGGCCGCGGCCGAAGTCCTTCATGCAGTCCTGGTACATCTGCTTGGCCACGCCGGAGGCGCTGGAGAAGACGGTGCCGGAGCCGCTGGGGTACTCGATGAAGAGCTTCAGCTCATAGTCCATGCCCGGCTTGGAGACAGCGTCGAAGGCGAAGACGCGGCCCAGCAGGGCGTGATCCTTCTTGAAGCGCACCTCGTAGGGGGTGCAGCCGGCCAGCGTGAGGAGCGTGTCCCGCACGATCTTGGGCTTGCTGGCCCACTCCTCGGCCCGGTTCCGCAAGCTCTCGCTGAGCTCGGCCAGCGCCTCCGCGTTGCGCTGCTTCTCCTTCAGCTCCCGCTCTTGGTCGCTGCTGGACACCGAGCCCGGCCGCTTGCCGCAGGCCTCGGAGGACGAGCCGCCGCCGCCCCCGGCGCCGCCGCCGCAGGTGCCCCCTTGGGAGGAGGCGGAGGGAGCCGGGGGACCCCCGCCGCCGCGGCCGCTCAGGCCCCCGTGCGGCGGGGGCAGCGCCACGCCGGAGGCGGGGGGCCCGTTGAGCAAGGTCTGCGGCAGCAGGTTGGGGGGCACGTTCATCTGGGCGCCGGCGGCCCCCGGGGGCAGGCCGGACACCAGCCCCCCGTGCGCCCCGCGGCGGGAGGAGGAAGAGGAGGAGGAGGAGTTGGGGCTCTGGCGGTTCAGCTCCGGCGGCCCGTCCTCAGGCGGCTTGGGGAAGCCGTTGGGCCCCCCCAGCCCGTTGGGCAGGCGGGCGCCGTGGCTGCCGCCCAGGCTGCCCGGCGGCGGCGGGTACTCGAAGCGGCTGCGCTGCTCCGCCGCGGCGGCGCTGAGCCCGTAGCGGTCCAGGCTGGACTGGGTCAGCCCCGCCGAGGCTGCCTTGGAGGAGGCGTCCACATGGTTGAGCTGCTGCTGGGCCGCCGCCGCCGCCGCCGCCGCTTCTTTGGCGGAGAGCGGCACTGCCTTGACGCCGACCGGCGGCGGGGGGCCCGGGGAGCGGCCGTCCTGGAAGCAGCCGTGCGCCCGCTTCAGCTGCCGGGCCGTCTCGATCACGAACTCGATGCGGTCGGCGCCCTCGTAGTTGACGCAGCCCCGGCAGACGGGCTCCGTGAAGTCCCAGATCATGGCCCAGGGCATTCGGGGCAGGTCGCACAGGTAGCATGACTGTCTCCGGGACGACGACACCTGCGCGGCGGACATGGTGCTGCTGGCCGGGGAGCTGCTGCCGCTGCCGCCGGGGTAGGGGCTGGCTCAGTCCTCCCCCCCGGGCTGCAGGGGGGGTGGCTCTCCGTACCTGATCCTGTTGCCCCTTTCAGGAGGGGGGACCGTCTGCTTTCAGTTCGCTTGCTGCCGGAGAGGGCTTCTTCTACCCGGTCCTGCCGCTGCTGCCCCGGTGGGGTGGGAACCGCTTCCACGGCTTCTCCGGGGGGCTGGGTGGGGGTCGCCTTCTAGCCGCTTCTGTTTCCCTGCGCTCTCTAGCTCTCCGCTGCTGCTGCTCCTCCTCCGGGAGGAGGCGGAGGTGCACGGAGGAAGATGGGGGGGTCACCTTCCACCCGCCGCGGCTGCCTGGCGAGCTCGCACTTCGGTACGTGCCGATCCACCGCCGGGAGCGACAGAGGGGCACCCGCGCGGAGCCGTCCGGTCCCGGCCGCGGCGGCGGCGGCTTCCCCGAGCGCCGGCGGAGCGGTAGCGGCCCGGGGCCAGCGGCGGCAGCAGCGTGGCGAGCGGCGCCGCCTGCTCCTCACTCACATCCTCGCCGCTGCTCGCAGTCCAACCGCGGGGTGCTGCGCGCCGCCGCGTGTGCCTGCGCGCCCCCTCCGCCGCGCCGCGCTCCCCCCCCCCCCCCGCGCCGCGCCGCGCCGCCCCTCCCCTCCTCCGCGCCGCGCTCCCGGCTCGGCTCGGCTCTCGGTTGCGCCCGGGCGCGGCCCCGCGTCACCGCCGAGCGCCCGCCCCTCCCTTCCACCCCCCCCCCCCCCCCCCGCTCCCCTCCCCCCGGCCGGCGGCGCGGAGCCCACTTGTTGCGCGGGGCGCGCATGCCCGGCGCCCTGCCCGCCCCCCCCCACGCGCGGCCGGCAGCTGGAGCGCGGCGGGGCGCGCGGCAGCCCGCGCTGCCGGCGATGTTTGGAAACTTGAACGCCAGATCGCGCCCTCGCCCTCCGCCCCGGCCCGCGCCCGGGCAGCGCATGCACCCTGCGGGGGGGGGGTGGGGGGTTCCTGTTGTGTGTTTTTTTTTTTTTTTTTGTTTTTTTTTTTTTTTTCTTCCTGGCCGGGCTTTCTAAGTTCAAACGTCTCGTTTTCAGGATTTTGTAAACCCGCGGATCGCCCCGCTTTGCCTCCGTGACGGCTGCGCGGCGTCCTGCCACCGAGGCTGTCGGTGGGATTCCCGTGCGCTCCGGCTGCTGAGGCAAATGGGGGGGGATCCCGCCTTAATATCCGATTTCGTGTTTCTCTTTCAGTGATCCCGGTGACAGAATGACACACTTTCTGTAAGCCCGTCACTGCATCAGAAGCTCTTCCACTTTTGATTTGTTTAAATCAGCCATGTTTGCCGAGTGTTTAAGGTTGGGCTGGGAAAGATAGTGCTGTGCGTTGCTCAAGGGTGTAGGAGAGGCCAGGCAGGTGAGTAATCGCTGTGATCTCATCTCGCTAATGCAAAGGGACATAGGATTTCCCCGGCGCTGTGAGAACACACGGCTCTTTTTTTTTTTTTTTTTTTTCCTTTCTATTTCCCCCTTTAAATAGCTTACTAACATTTGCATAACACTGCTAACAGGCAAATTACTCAAAACAACTTCGGCTCATGCAAATAAGCCGAGAATTCATTTCACTGGGAGGAAAACAAAAACCCCCGGAGCCTGCCTTCCCCCGACCGCGATGCCCCAAGGTGCCCGCTCCCCGCACGCCCCACGGCCACGCCGGTGCCCCCGCTCGCCAGGAGGGGCTCTGCACAGCCCGCTTCTACTTTCGCGGCACTCGGGGGCTGGTTTTGCAAACACCGACACCGCTTTCCGTGTCCGGAGAATAATAAACGCTCGCAGCGGGGACGCGGTTCGGCAGGACCCGGCGGGCGGCAACCGGCGTCGTGCCACTGGCGCCCACCCGCGCTCACGGGTGTCCGCGGAGGCAGCGCTCAGCGGGGGGACCGCTCGCACGCTTGGGGGAAGCGGAGCCTCTCCCGGCTGGGCTGTGCTGGATTTCTTTCTTTCTTTCAGTGCCTCTTCCTGATTCCTTTGTTGCTAGAAACGCCGAACCCCCCCGTCCATTACAGGTTTCCCTCTGCGCTTTAAAGGGACTCCGGGTTTCTATGGCGTTGTGCCACGGCTGCCTCACACGCACGCACACACACACTCACGCACACGCACACGCACGCCCAGCAAGCAGGGAAGATACTTTGTATTCGGTTAATAACGTTTCAAAACTCTGCGCGACAAAAAGTTGTTGCTTTAAATAATTCGTTTCGTATCGCAAACGCGTCTCATTTCCATTTTTAGTTGTCTAAAACGTTTTATATGTGTCTGGTTATAAACTTTAAAGCTGGCAAACGAATTTGATATGTATGTGAGCGGAATTATTTTACAGGGAAGGCGTAATGAAATGCATACGCTGAAATTACAGAAATGGTAGGACCAGATAAAGTACAGTAAGAAAATCAGTTCTGGCAAAGCGACTCTTTTTCAGGGGAAGCTTGCAGAAGCAGCGAGTAGAGATAGAAAAGTCTCTGAATTATGTGAGTCTCCCATATGCAAATTAGCTGAAGAAAATGCGCTAAAGGAGAGTGGATTTCACACTTAGAAATTTCACACCTAAACTGTGGACAGTACAAAGGCTTGACAGAAGCAAGCTTCCAGTAAGGCAGCTGAAAGCCGGTCAAAGTAAAAGTCTTTGCTTCCAGCCACAGTGATCTAGTGATGGCTGCAGGATTTCAACATTAATGACTTTACTTGACTAAACAAGCATGTGTTCACTCTGATTCATACTGGAAGGTCAACTCCTCTCCTATCCTTTTACTGCCCTGTGTTGATCTTCATATGAGAAGCAGAACTGGGCTGTGGGAAAAGGTCAGCCCCTGCTTAAAAAACTCAGGTTGAGAGGGCTGAGGCTTTCCCCTTTATCCTGAATGTCTGGGAATGCAGAACTGCAGCATATCCCGACTGTATTTCAGTCCCCGGGTTATACAAACCCAACACATGACAAGGCACTCTGTGTGCTTGAACCGCCCCTCACTCTGGCTCCTCGCTCCACTGAATCCTCCTGCAAGAAAGCCCTTTTTTGGTAACACTCACCTCACAGGAACAGATTTCTTGGCTCACAAGAGCAGTCTTTATAGTGGGTGTAAATAATAATCACCTTAGATATAATCTAGCCTCAGAAAACCAGTCACAGGTGCTGTCAACTCCCTTTATAGTTCGTGAATAGAAAAAGAGGAGAGATTAGCATCTGTGACCCAACCAAACTGCCTTTACTTTTACTTGTAGGATACACAGTCGCGGAAATATGTTTGTTTTTCCGTAATGATTAAACTTTGATTTAAACTTTGGTCATGGGCACGTACTGTACCATTACGCAAGCGGCAATGAAGGATGAAGTGTCAGCATAGCAACAATATGGCCATCAGCAGTGGTGATCTCTGCAAAACTGACTGATGAAGAGAACTGCAATGTAAATGCAAATAAATGCCACGCTGTGGCACCTTCACAGGGAACGAGTTGTCAGTATCAATCTAATCTGGTGAGGGAAAATAGATTGAATAGTGGCAATGTAACAAAGCTCCAATCTATGGCAGCGCTGTCCCTGCGAGGGTAGCAGTGTGCTTCCCTGCTCACCTTCCGCCTTTCCTCGCCTTTGCCGTGGGAATGGCAGGGCAGGAGTGATCCAGATCACTCTTGCTGGATTTATACTAAACACGTCTGGTGTTTATTTAGCTCTGAAATAATCCAGGAATTAAAATTATGTTTGGAGAAGGAAAAGAGGAAGCCCAAACAATGAAGCCATTCAGGTGCCTGATCTGGCTAAATGAATGAAAGAAGAGAGCAAACAAAAAATAGCCTAAGAACCCCCCGACAGTAGCTTGTTTAGTGAGATGGAGGGGAGCGCAAGGAGAGACGGAGCCGCGGCCACAAACAGTTGCTACCCAGCTACTGCTTCTTGTGCAGGAACACGAGTCAGCACTTTGGATGCAGCATTAGGGATTCAGAGGAGATTGCCCAAAGTTTATGACCTGCTAGTAGTCCCAAGGGACAAAGAATATAATTTTCACTATCAGAAGTGAAATCTACTAACTCCTTCCTTTCGGTGCTAGGATAAATACTGCCATCCGATAATCCCTTTCCCTTTCTTTCTGTTACCCTCTCTGTTTGGAAGTACACACACACATCTGTGCAACATTAAAACAGCAGGTGAAGCTTTGATTTAAACGAAGGAATCAAAACAACCATACAAAACACAGCATGCGGGAGCCGGCCAGCACCTTCCTTACTGCCACCGGCAGGTATGGGGAGCAGAGGGATGAAGGAAGATGTGACAAAACCCAGGTGCCTGGCCACAGCCCAGGTCTGCCAGGCTCTGCTCTATGCCATGACCGTGCGTGAGCTCCCAAAGCCCGGGGATTACTGTTGGTCTGGATGTGAGAGGAGTACTGTTGATTATCGACCAGCAGTCCAGGGTTAACTGTGCGGAATATAGGACAGCCCCGAAGTTTGCAAGCAGTAATAATTAGGAGCCTATGATCTCAGCAGCTTGGGAATGAATGGTCTGGTCTGGCTCTAAATGCTCACAGCCTAGGAATACGTTTAACTCTCCCCTGCTTGCTTTACAAAGTTTTGGCACTGATCAGTGCAGCAGTCACCGCAGCTGGTTCTTCTGCAGACGCTCACCTACAGAAATGGCTCTTTCCTCAGTGGTCAAAACAGCAGATACAGCTGGAAAAAAATACAAGAACCAGAAGGGAAGCACACTCCCGAGAGTGCGATTTACATGAATTTACCTCAGTATAGCAAATAAAATAAAATCCATCACAATCAAATTATTGAGTTCAAAACAATGCAGAGATTAGCAGTGAACAGAGCATTCAGTGGTAAAGGGAGTGTGTTCAGCAAATCAAAACACAAACACTTCAGGAAGGAGTTGCATAATTTTGTCAAACAACATTGTCTTCTACTAGGAGCTGCAAGGAAGTGTCAAAACACCTAGTTACAAAAAACAGGAGTATAATTACGTGTTTCTGTTTATCACTTCAGTTCTCATCTCATTATACTTCTGTTTTTTCCTACCATTCTTCAGATAGTGAGCCTTGCTGACATGCAGAGCCTACTGCTTTTCCACCTAGAAGTAATCCTTTCCTTTCCTTTCCTTTCCTTTCCTTTCCTTTCCTTTCCTTTCCTTTCCTTTCCTTTCCTTTCCTTTCCTTTCCTTTCCTTTCCTTTCCTTTCCTTTCCTTTCCTTTCCTTTCCTTTCCTTTCCTTTCCTTTCCTTTCCTTTCCTTTCCTTTCCTTTCCTTTCCTTTCCTTTCCCTTCCTTCCTTCCTTCCTTCCTTCCTTCCTTCCTTCCTTCCTTCCTTCCTTCCTTCCTTCCTTCCTTCCTTCCTTCCTTCCTTCCTTCCTTCCTTCCTTCCTTCCTTCCTTCCTTCCTTCCTTCCTTCCTTCCTTCCTTCCTTCCTTCCTTCCTTCCTTCCTTCCTTCCTTCCTTCCTTCCTTCCTTCCTTCCTTCCTTCCTTCCTTCCTTCCTTCCTTCCTTCCTTCCTTCCTTCCTTCCTTCCTTCCTTCCTTCCTTCCTTCCTTCCTTCCTTCCTTCCTTCCTTCCTTCCTTCCTTCCTTCCTTCCTTCCTTCCTTCCTTCCTTCCTTCCTTCCTTCCTTCCTTCCTTCCTTCCTTCCTTCCTTCCTTCCTTCCTTCCTTCCTTCCTTCCTTCCTTCCTTCCTTCCTTCCTTTCCTTCCTTCCTTCCTTCCTTCCTTCCTTCCTTCCTTCCTTCCTTCCTTCCTTCCTTCCTTCCTTCCTTCCTTCCTTCCTTCCTTCCTTCCTTCCTTCCTTCCTTCCTTCCTTCCTTCCTTCCTTCCTTCCTTCCTTCCTTCCTTCCTTCCTTCCTTCCTTCCTTCCTTCCTTCCTTCCTTCCTTCCTTCCTTCCTTCCTTCCTTCCTTCCTTCCTTCCTTCCTTCCTTCCTTCCTTCCTTCCTTCCTTCCTTCCTTCCTTCCTTCCTTCCTCCCTCCCTCCCTCCCTCCCTCCCTCCCTCCCTCCCTCCCTCCCTCCCTCCCTCCCTCCCTCCCTCCCCTCCCTTCCCCTTCCCCTTCCCCTTCCCCTTCCCCTTCCCCTTCCCCTTCCCCTTCCCCTTCCCCTTCCCCTTCCCCTTCCCCTTCCCCTTCCCCTTCCCCTTCCCCTTCCCCTTTCCCTTCCCTTCCCTTCCCTTCCCTCCCTATCCTTCCCTCCCTCCCTCCCTTCCTTCCTTCCTTCCTCTCCTTGGTCTGCAGTGCAGATACATTTCTTAACAGACGTTGCCAGTCATGTCCTGCACCTTTACCGCTCCCATTTTCACACAGCCGGGCGAGGACTGCCCTGCCCTGCCCTGCCCTGCCTGCCACTGCCACCCTCTGTGTCCCGCCGAGGCAGCTCTGCAGCCCCCGGACCCCACCAACCTCTCGCTTCTGCCTTGGAAACCAGCTAAGGCTCCTCTTTGAGACCCACCCCAAACCAATTTTCTTACAGCTGTCCTTATGGTTTTTAAAACTGCCTGTGAGCCCAGATTTCCGCACATTACCTTTTGCCAAATATTACAGTGCAAAATAAGACACTTAAAATTTATTCTGCTTGCTCCACGAGGGACAAGCAACTGGGTAGCGTGTTTTAGGCTGGGATATGCAGAGGCTGTGTCCTCCGCTGTTGTTATTTTTACTTTATCCCTGGACTGTTTTCATCTTACATCCTGTGGACGTAGTAAACAATCAACAATAATGAATCAACTGAATCGGTACATTTTTTAAGGCTATTCCCACTGAGAGCCACTTGCACTTTCGTGACAGTTAAGAATCTGCCAAACATTAGCTTAGTTACCAGCAAGACAGGCTCCCCCCTCCCTTCACCCCATACACAGATTGTTTATCAAAACGTGCTGCCAAGAAAAATATCCCTGCTTTTGGCCTCCACCAGTGATTAATAACACTTGAGAACTGAACAAAACTTTACTGTGTTTTCAAAAAAAATGGAGGTGGGAAGAAGGCAAGAGGGGGGGGATTAAGAAAGAAAGAAAGAAAAAGAGAAGGAAAGGAAGGAAGGGAAAGGAAAAGGAACTGCACTATCTGAAGTTATTTCACACGGCATAACCTCCTTTTCCTCTGTAACTAGGCCATCTTAAAAGACCTAAACCACTTTTTCTCCAAGACCATGTTATAAATGCTGATTAACATTGTTATTGAAAGGATGATACGGGCACAGGATAAGGGTGAGAATAGAAGGGGGGGGAAGCAGTTTCTTTTATTAGCACATATCAAGATGAGCTATGGGGGGAAACTGAGAGGAAAAAAAAGATCATTTACTTTCTTTTCAAAGACTGTGGGTAA